ATCCCACCCCCGCCAGCCATATAATAGGCACCTCAGAGGGGCGGGATCTCTTAGGTTCCTGTCTTTTTGCACTTTCCTTGACTGTCAGAGGCTTCTTTCGTTGTAGGGAGGAGTGCTTCTTTTCCGAAAGCATTATGAGCCACTGCTCATGCTCTGTGCAGAACACATGGTAGCAGGAAAGATAAATCAGTGTGGGCCAGGGGACCTCCTCTTTGCCCTTCCCCCTCTGTTCCTGCTCCTTGATGCTTTGAACTCCAGCACTTCTGCTCTGTCTTGCAGCTCCGGTTACCACACAGAGCTGGTGGCCAGAAACAACATCACTGGGCCTTGGTGTGTGACTTGAGAGTGAGGAAGCTTCTGGAGGTGGTTTTAGACTTTGCTTGGAGGCAATGTCTCCATGTCCCCCAGAGTGATTGGCTTTGCTATCTTTCTCTAGACATTTTTTTAGCCGTTCGATGGGTTTGGGGAGCATACTCACCTGATCAAAATCCTTCCCAGTTTATGCCCCATAGTGGACCAGTGTTCTAAGAGATCTTAGTAGGTGTACCGTGATTTCTTTTTCCCCATGAAAAAACAAGTCTGGGAAATGCTGAGTGAAACTGATTTCTTTATTGCAGGACTTTAAATATGCTAATATGCATTATAAATCTCCAAGAAAGGAATAATACTTTATAGTATGTGGTGTCTCCTAATCTGAACCTGCTGGCTTTTTTTTTTTTTTTTTTTAATGGAACACCATTAGCGTCTTTTGGGAAATGTGGATCTATATAAATTAGAGTTGTCACACTTTTGTTTGTATCAGAATTACTTGGGGCTTCTGTTAAAAATGTAAATTCCTTGGTCCTTCCCCTTAACAACTAAATTAGAATCTCTTAGGTAAGACCTAAGAATTTGCACTTTCTGTAAGAACCCATCACTCTTTCCTCTGTTTATTGTAACAGCCCAGAATGCTTTTCATTCCCCAGAAACAGTTTGTTTCTTTCCTCTCTGGTTTCATCCACTCTGTCTCCTCCTTCTGGAGTCACCATCTTCTCTATCCTCACGCATCCTTTATACTGTGTCTTCTCCCACCTTGTGAGTGTAAGCCCCTTAGAGTTACGGGAGATGTCATTCATTTGACTGTCCCAGCTCTAATCCAGTCTCGGTGCCTTATCCGTTGTTGAATGGGTGGGTGGATGGGAGAAAGGGTGGAAAAATAATCTTTATAAAGTGCCAACACGTCTGTGCTACCGGTGATCAAAGAGAAATTAAACAGTCGTCTCTGAATCCCTTTATTATTACCCTGGGTATTTTGTGCACCTTACCTCCACAAAGTTTAATTTTCCCTGTTTAACTTTTCCAAGGCGAAATGTTAGGGGCCAGTAAAAGCCACCAACCATCCACCATCACCCTGAGGGTCTTCATCAGCCTCCTGCTCACCTCTGTTATTTGCCCTCAGACCATATTTTTGCAACCGTTTGAAATAAGTTATCTTCAGGAGCCACTTTCTTTGTTAGAGTTCACTTCCTCCTGGCCTTCCTCCCCCTGACCCAGCCTACTTTTCTTCTCTTTGATCTTTGTGCTGCTGTGAGTCATCATTATCCTGAAAATGATCTAGACATCCGTCAGGAGAAAGTAAAAGAAGAATCCTCAGAAAACAGCAGACCCTGGGGGGGTGCGACGTGGGGGCTTCTGCTTAGCATTACAGCTCCGAATCCTGGGCGTGCTCCTGGGCTCTTGCCTGGGAACCGGGAGGGGTTCAGACTTCACCGGCTCCCCGCTGCGATCCAAGGAAACAGAACCGGAAAATACTGGCAGATGTGAGCGCTTCGCCCTTGGTTAGGTATTAAAGGATATAAACAGCTGTTGATCAGCACCGCTGGACCACGGGGCAAGCAAAAGCTTTCATCTGCGCCTGGATCCCAGGGCAGCTGGGAGAGCCGTGCTGTTGCAGGAGAGGGGCTTTCTCGGCTGGGAGAACACCAAACAGATGTGGCTCCCTTGTGAACCATAGTCTCCTGCACTCTCCCGTGATCCTCTCCAGCTTCCTTTGTTAAAAAGCCAACAGATGTCCTCGTTAAAGCTCCTAAGATAGCAGTGACTTTAGAGGCAGGGGCCTTCTCCTCTCCCATTGCATCTCTAGCCACTTTTAGAGATAATGACAGAAAAACAGGAAGCCTAGGAAGCCACAACCTTTTTTTTGTCCTATTGTCTGTCTAATTGCAATAATTTTTATGTTCCAGCCCTCGGCTGCCCGATTTTCTATTATATAATAGGATTTACTGTCTTAGATCTGACACT